AGAGGAAATTATTCTGTGAGAAGGACAAAGAAACGGGGGAGCTTATTTACCTGGGAAGAAGGGAGACATGAGCAAGGGAAGGGTGCTGGGCAAGGAAGCCCGAGCAGTATGGTGAGAGGGTGGCGGGGGTAGGGGTGCCTTCCGTTTGGTGAGGGTGAATGAAGGATGGGGAGGCCTGAGCTCTTTAGCATCAGATCTGGCCTAGGGACCCTGGCAGCACCTGGCCTGGTCACCAGGGCACAGTGTGCCACACATGAGCAGAGTACCCATGCTTTTCTTGAGCTCCACTGGCCTCAGCTCTGGTGCTCCAGGCCACGGGCAGGAGTGGGATAAGAGTAACAGAGGCCTGAGACCATTTGCAGCCCGGCCTTCTGATACCCTGTGTGTTCTGCAGACGTGGACGAGTGTGAGGCTGGGGACGTGTGTGACAATGGCATCTGCACCAACACACCAGGCTCCTTCCAGTGCCAGTGCCTCTCTGGCTACCATTTGTCAAGGGACCGGAGCCACTGCGAGGGTGAGGGTCCTAGAGCTGGGGCACTGACTAGTCTCTCCCTACCCCGGGACCCCCACTGCCCAGGTCCAGTCCCTGTCCAGATCCCGGATGGGGCATGCAGGTGCAGGGACCAACCCAGGGCCCTGGGGGAAACTTCGGCAGCCTTAGGCTGTGCATGGGGGTCAGCCCCTGAGATTCCCCACCCTCTCGATGCCCCCCAGACATTGATGAGTGTGACTTCCCTGCGGCCTGCATTGGGGGCGACTGCATCAACACCAATGGCTCCTACAGATGTCTCTGCCCCCAGGGGCATCGGCTGGTGGGCGGCAGGAAGTGCCAAGGTACGGGGAATTGGCTGAGGGTTCCTGAGAGGAGTGGCAGGGAGCAGTCATCCCCTGTGCACACTGTGGTCTTTCTGCCTTTCCATCCGTCCATCTCTCATTCTTCTTCTCTTTCACCTAGAATAACAATGATAACAGTAATAATGACAGCTACTGCTTCCGTGCTGCTTCCTGTGTGCCAGGCACCCTGTTAAGCTCTTTACAGATATTCATGTATTAGCCTAACACATCAACTCACTCATACACGCCTTTACCCACCAAGAGTTTCCTGAGCACCTACTATTTGCCAGGTTCTCTGCTGTGTACTAGGTATTCAGCAATGGCCCGGGGCTCACAGCTGGGGAAGGCCAATATGTAAGCTGATTCTCACAGTTCAGGGTGCTGGGTGCCAAGAAAGTTCTGGCCTAGTGATTAATTGCAATGGAGAGTTGACTGTTGAACTGAGACTGGAAGCATAAATAGGGGTTCCCTAGGCAGAGAAAAGCACACATTGGTATTCTAGGCCCAAGAACACTATTTGCAAAGCACAGAAATCTGGAAGGAGCTAGTTGTGTTTCTAGAGAGTAGACACCAGTGCCCTGAGCATAGAGTTGAGGAGGGTGGTTTAGGGTAAAGGGTGATGACACTTAAAGGTATGGGAAGACCAAGCTGGAAGTCTTCAAATGCCAACCTGAGAGTTAGGACTTCACTCTGTTGTCAGTGGGGGCCACTGAAGGTCTTCTGAAGAATCACAGCAGTAAAAATGCGCACACCTACCCGCATGCACAGACAGGCACAAGGGGACTTCTGTGGTGTGTACTTTGAAAACAAAGTGGAAAATCAGTTCTGAACTTGTGCATGGCCTTGGGGCACACCCTCAGGGAAAGAAGGGCTGGGTTTCCGTCACAGCTGCTCCCTTCACTCCCCCAGACATAGATGAATGTAGCCAGGACCCGGGCCTGTGCCTTCCCCACGGGGCCTGCGAGAACCTGCAGGGCTCCTACGTTTGTGTCTGCGATGAGGGCTTCACACCCACCCAGGACCAGCATGGCTGTGAGGGTGAGTGTACTCCCAGTCCTCACACTAGACAACTCCGCTGAGCTACAGCTGGGGTTCAGAGATGTGTCCTGGTTCCACTTTCCTGAATTTTGGGAACAGGAAGAAATCCCTTTTGCCTGGGGGAGTCTGGGGCCAGACCTAGAAGGGCACTGAATGCCACCTTGAGGAAGGATCCTGGTTCTCATAGGGCCATTAAGGAGAGCCAAGGAAGGGGAGGGGAGAGGCGGGGTGTGGACAGGGGAGACAGGGCAAAGGCAGTCTGTCTGCAGGACCCTGAGCTGCCCTCCCCCCTCAGAGGTGGAGCAGCCCCACCACAAGAAGGAGTGCTACCTTAACTTCGATGACACGGTGTTCTGCGACAGCGTATTGGCCACCAACGTCACCCAGCAGGAGTGCTGCTGCTCTCTGGGGGCCGGCTGGGGGGACCACTGCGAAATCTATCCCTGCCCAGTCTACAGCTCAGGTCAGACCCTGTCCCAGAGCCTCAGGTTCTTCATCTGGAAACCGGATGGGGGAAATGGCTCCCCCAGGTAGCTGGGAAGTGAGGCGGCGAGCCCCGGCCTGAGCCCGACCCCCAGCACGCGCGCGCTCAATCTGCCTCCTTTCCCCCCACGGCCGCTCTCTCTCCGCAGCGGAGTTCCACAGCCTCTGCCCCGACGGAAAGGGCTACACCCAGGACAACAACATTGTCAACTACGGCATCCCAGCCCACCGCGGTAAGTCCCAGCGCGGCTCCGCCCTCCGGCCCCGCCCGCCCCCCGAGACTGGGCTTGCGGGGAACCCGCAGGTGCTTGCTGGGTTAGCCGCGGGCAAGCCACGCCCACACCTTCTGCCACCTGCCCCGCCCCTTCAACAAGCCCCGCCCTAACACTCCGACGTCGTGGCGGGGAAAAGCCTCTCCCGCGGGTTTGCTTTGCTCCCGGCGGCCGGGCAGGAGCGGCCACTGTTCTCACCTCGCAGACATCGACGAGTGCATGTTGTTTGGGGCGGAGATCTGTAAGGAGGGCAAGTGCGTGAACACGCAGCCCGGCTACGAGTGCTACTGCAAGCAGGGCTTCTACTACGACGGGAACCTGCTGGAGTGCGTGGGTGAGCGCAACCGCCCCAGCGGCCGCGGGGGAGCGGCGGGAGACACGCACGGCCACCCGGCCTCCGGGCCTGCCCCCGCCACCGCCGCTTTTCCTCTCTGCAGACGTGGACGAGTGCCTGGACGAGTCCAACTGCCGGAACGGGGTGTGTGAGAACACGCGCGGTGGCTACCGCTGCTCCTGCACGCCCCCGGCCGAGTACAGCCCGGCGCAGCGCCAGTGTCTCAGCCCGGAAGAGATGGGTGAGGCCCGGGCTGGTGCGCTGGGCAAGCGGGAGGGGTCGGGGCCCGGCCGGATGTGACAGCACCCCCACCCACCCATGCCCTCGCTGCCCATAGACGTGGATGAGTGCCAGGACCCGGCAGCCTGCCGCCCTGGCCGCTGCGTCAATCTGCCGGGCTCCTACCGCTGCGAGTGTCGCCCGCCCTGGGTGCCCGGGCCCTCCGGCCGCGACTGCCAGCTCCCCGAGAGCCCGGCCGGTGAGGGTGTCCAGGGCCCTGTCCGTCGTGTGGAGCTCCGGCGCGGGTGGGCTGGAATGGAGGCGGGCGGTTCCTGCCTCGGGCTCCTCCCTGACCTACGACCTCCCTCTGTAGAGCGCGCTCAGGAGCGGCGCGACGTGTGCTGGGGCCAGCGCGGAGAGGACGGCATGTGTGCGGGCCCCCTGGCCGGGCCTGTTCTCACCTTCGACGACTGCTGCTGCCGCCAGGGCCGCGGCTGGGGCGCCCAGTGCCGCCCGTGCCCGCCACGCGGCGCCGGTGAGTTGGTCCGGGAGGGGGTGGCCCAGAGGGAGCTTGAGGGCGGGTGCGCCGACGTCGCTGACTGCCCCTCGCCCCTCCCAGGGTCCCAATGCCCGACGTCGCAGAGTGAGAGCAATTCCTTCTGGGACACGAGCCCCCTGCTGCTGGGAAAGCCGCCGCGGGGTGAGCTCAGCCAGAGGGGGCGGAGGCGGGGTAGGCACCATCGGCTGGGATCGGTGTTGACCTCGGTATTCTACCGACCCGCGCAGACGAGGACAGTTCGGAGGAGGACTCGGACGAGTGCCACTGCGTGAGCGGCCGCTGCGTGCCACGGCCCGGCGGCGCCGTGTGCGAGTGTCCCGGAGGCTTCCAGCTAGACGCCTCCCGCGCCCGCTGCGTGGGTGAGCCTGGCCCCGGG